GATTTTGTTATTTTACATTTTAAGAAGAGCTTTTAATTTCAACAATTGAATTAATTATTGTTCTTTGTTATTTTATCATATGTTCTACTAATTAAGAATACTTTTTGGTGGTGGCAAAGCATCTTTTTTGTTTTAATATTTAGTTGGTGTGATGAAAATCATATAGTTGATTTTTTTGTTTAATTTATAAGAAAAGCATCATTTATTATTAATTAATTGAATTGATTATTGTTTAAAATGCTAAAACATTTTTACTTATTATTGTATCATACCATTGACAATTGAAGTGATTATTTGTTTTTGTAATACGAATTAGAATATCCAAATTAAATAATAATAATTATGAATAATTAACAATATTCAAAACAAGATATAAATAATACCACTTTTTTTGATCTGTTAATTAACTGAACTCACACTATTCATAAAATTATAAAAAAAAACTCCAATTTTGCTATCTCATATTAAAAATGTCTTCTGTAAAAAGATCAATCTCTGATACTGAAAATTTACCATCAAAAAAATTCAAAAAACAATAAATCCACTAAAAAGACCTAATCCTAACACTGAAAACCCACCATCTTTGAAAAAACAAAAAAAATCATTAAAGCTTCAAAACAGATTACCTGATATTGAATATACACCATCTACAGTAAAAATAGGCCTACATAAACTTCTTAATGAAAATGTTTTAAATTCACATATTCAAACTTCAGTTGAAAAAATGTCAAAAATAACTTATGAGGGATCTCTACTTGCAAATCTAATAACCCTTTATCTTATAAATACAAACCAAACCATTCCTACTCTCAACCAAACATTTTTTTGATGTGTTTTTAAAGCTGTCACAGCCATAAACAAAAGGCAATTAAATATACCATGTGTTACTGCTGATTTTAACTATCAATTTCTGCCATGACTTTTTGTATATTCCTTGTCGTTCAGAAGAAAAAGAATGGACAGATTCAAGGTTAATTAGTGTTCTGCAATATCCTTGTTATCCATATATGGGACATACTGCAACAAAACCAGACAAAGTGAACATTACATTGCACACATTACAGGGATCAAAATTTAGTGTAATTGTGATAATATTAATATTAATATATTTTTTTAATTATAACCCTAACTTAATAAGCTTTTTTTGTTACACACTGAATTATATTAATATTAAAAAAAAGAAAATCCAATAAAAATTAAAAAAAAACATCATCAACTCATCAACCCCTTAACCACGAATATTTAGTACTAATTCAATATCTTCTTTTGACAGTGTTGCTCGCTTAGCATGAATTGTACATAGTCGACTGATGATGATAATGGGGAAGAAGTTTTTTTTATTAATAGTAATATTGTTAATAGAATAAATAGAATCATTATCTTTTTACAGATTGAAAATTAAATCAACTTACGCATCCTGAAACAACTCAATTAAATATGTCTCAGCAGCTAATTAAAAAAAAAATTAATATTATACACACACACATATAAATTCACAAATTCATACATGTAGGATTCAATCAAAAAATAAATCAATTAATTACCTTCTTGAAGTGCTGTAATGGCTGTGGATTCAAACTCAAATCCCATATTAGAATGTTGTTGAAATATGTTTGTGGCAATTTCTTCAACCTATACATATATATACATAATGATTAATTGACTAGTATTTGTATATTATTAATAATGTAATAATAATCTTCTGATCACTAACTACTCTAGAAAAAGGTATTCTTCTTAGAAGAAGATTTGTTGTTCTTTGATGTTGTCTGATTTCATTTAAAGCTATATTATATGGCCTGTATCTTGGTGGTTTTGTGTAAAAGCCTGTTTTTTATTTTAAAATAATGTATAGAATATCATTTAGTCACTTTTACAAATTGATATGCAAATAATTATTTACTCAAGCAAATTCAATTGGTTGAATTTTATACACATCTTTAAAAATCAGCACTTACATCTGGTATTTGTTGATTCATTTAAATTATTTGTCAGGTCCATTAGATCATCACCATCATTGCTATCATTATCATCCTTTGTAGACATAATGATACTGGTGGTACTTACAATTTCTTGTCTTTCCTCTTCATCTTTTTCTACTATATTCTCCAAACAACAACATCATCAATACTATCTTCTTGGTTTATTTTTCCTTCATTGTCATCCTCTTCCTCTGATATCTGCAGATCCTGTAATATTGATGCAAATATTAATATTACAATTTTCTAAAATATAAATAATAATTAATAAACAAGAATAACTAAAAAATACCTCTATATTATTGTTATATAATGTACTGTCATTGTACATTTCTAGCTGTAGTTGATCCAATTCTCTTGTTATTTTGTCTATTGTGAATTGGTATTTTTCAACTACATTATTTAAATGGGCTATATCTTGAGATTCATCAATTGTTTCCAATATGGCTTTTAGTGAATATTTGAAACAATGCTAATTTTTGTTCCAAAAAAATATAATTATTAGATCCTAACAAATTTACATACTCAACCAGTGTTGGAAATTCAATTGTGTCAGTTATACAAATTTTTTAACTTTTTTGCTAAGATAGTTTGCAAATTTGATTAGTGCACATACCCTGCACATCTGAATTTCCAACACTGTATTCAATGAGAATTATGAGAATGGAATTTACTTACTAAATAAGGTGATGGTGATGGTTGAAAGATATAATAACCATTGTTATTGCTATAACTATTATTATCACCATTGTCACTACCACCACTACTACTGCCATTTTCAGTGTTTCTGCTGCTACTGCCATTACTAATACAATTACCATTTGGATCAATAACAGTGAGCTTGCAATTATTATCCATAGTAGTGACATTACCATTATAATCTATAGTAATACTAGTGTTATTAAAATTATCTATAATATTATTAGTTCTAGCAATATTATTAATTAAACTTTGATTAATATTAATGGCTTTAGCATCAGTAGCCTTTTCAATTTCAGTAGCCGTTGTTTGAATATCTTTAACATTGCTATCTTCCTTTCCATCATCATCACCATCACTATTTTGTGTTAGATTGATAAAATTTAATTCATTCTCTATATTTGAATTATTTTTATTCATAACGCCACAACTGCCATTATTGTTGCTGCTACTAACAACACCTTCCATATCAACATCTTCATTATCTTTTCTTTTGGTGTTAAACAAAAATGAAATTAAAAAACAATATTAATTACAGAGAATATAATAGTTGAACACAGACTTTCCATCCAAACTTAATGTTAAACTAGAGTGACAATAAGTGGTGGCGATAACCACCATTACCATTCTTATGATAAACACTTACCCAAACTGAGAATTTTCTCGTTCACCTTGTTGCTTTATTTTCTTCTGAATTCTTTTCATTTTTTTTTAAAGAAAATAAATTTATTTGATCGACATACGCGATTATTTACGATTATTACATGCGTGTATGGTTGTACAAAGAAGCATCTATTGGTTTTTTTTGTTGACGCGATTGAAATTTTTTTTTTTTTTTTTTTGGAAAAACAATTTATCTTTTACAAGACGAGAAAGAAAGCGCGAACATTGTTGTTCAGTATGGCTTGCTCTAAAGGAGACAAGGTGTTGTTTATTAATGGCGAGAGGTACACTATTTTTTTTGTTGCATTGTATTGATTTTTTTTTATTGTTTAATTGTTTTTACATCTTTACTTAATAAAATGTTGAAATCAAATTGTGGAAGCAGATCTTGTATTTATCATGATAAATGTTTTTGCTTTTCGTAATCAACACTAATAATATTAATATTACAATTACAAGATGTCAAGGCGATACAACTGTTAAAAAAGATGGGGGAAGAAGGGAAACGATTCTATATGCGACACTTTCATAATTGTACACTTCACAAACGTCAAGGCATACATGCTACCTTGAACACTTTACAGTCATTCTCACGTTCCTCGTGTGCACAAGGCTAATCTGACCCGCATCCCCCGATGATATAACGATGCAACTAAATTCCGGGGAGGGGCCGCATGGCCCTGGAGTTTATCGAGACTGCATCACACTTTTCACTAATCTTCCTCACAGTACCTGACTAGGAAAAGCTGGTATGTTTGCTGAAAAGTTGCCTGCAACAATCCTACCTCTAGGGTAAGGATGGATCTGTGTCCAAGAAGTTGCAACTCTGGAGAAATATTAAGAGAACCTGCAGCTCGTTTCAAGTATAGGAGGTTATGGTGACCCTGAAATTGCATTTGGGCTCTGATGTTAGGAGGAAAATTGTAAAATAGTGTTTGTTTTGTATAATTATTTTCCTAAATTCTGTTTCTTTGATACTAACCAATTTATAATTTTGGGTAGGGGTTTTGCCCAATCAGTCCCCGGTCCAATAGATTAAAATTATCGCATGATTATATATATCTTTGTCAGCAATATGGTCAACAAGAAAAAAGTTATAAAATGGTTCAGGTTTTGTTTGTTATGTTATGTATAAATTAATCATTCCCATATTTTTTGTTTCTCTAAATTTTTGTTTGACAACTGAATTTGTTGTTTAAATGGGGGTAGTGTTGTTGATGAGTAGATGTGCCACCAACAAGACAGCAAGCCAGGACTCAAAACTCGGAATTCAGGGAAATCTAAAACAGCAACTTCCCAAGTTGCAAACTCCTGAGTTGCTGAATTTCATACCAATTGCAGACATCAACTTTATTCTAGAGAGGTATAACACACAAATACTGATCCTTGTCAGTTATCAATGCCTGTATGGAAACAGTCAAGCCTGGTCTGTGGGAGAAGATATGAAAAGTTTTGTCCAAAGCCTTCCAACTTGTTCAAGTCCTTTCTTCTGTGGAAAAAATTCTACAGTGTTGACTGATGTTTAATTACATGGCGCTTGCATATTTGTGACAGGAAAGTTTTATTAAATCTCACACCTGTGATCAACATCAGATTTATTATTCATAATTGATAATCAGGAAAAATAATTTATTCTTGTGAACTCCAAAGATCTGGGTAGACACATTATTAAAAGTTTCATTTATGCATGGCCTTGGTGTTATTACTACTTGGGTGATGCAATTGTTTGTTATTCCAATGATTATATCAAATGTATTGAATAATCATTGTGATGGATGTGAGGACAAAGGAATTCACATATGATGAAAGGATTAAATAAGCTAAGTCATGTTTATTTTTTATCTATATAATTAATTATATTTAAAAATTATTATTTTATTTCATCTTTGTAATGGCATTTCAATAATTCTGAAATTGTTTATTTCTTAGTGTTAATGATTGAATCAATCACACAAGTGATTGTCAGTTTAGATGGCTTTTTTAAAAAAAAGGTTTAGTTGAATTAATGTTGTTAAATGGTTTTTTTATTTATAATAATAATTTTAATATTTTTTTTGATACATCAACCTCTATCATATTTATAGATTTTAAAATTTCTTTTTTGGTTAAAAAAAAAATTTTTAAAACATTTATTTATTTGTTTTAGTACATTTCAATTAGATTTTATTAGATCAAATGATACATTCAGCAAAAATCTCAGAAGACTACATTGTGCATTAATTCTAAGATAAAAAAATCTGTTTTAATGTTTAGTATAATCAACAATTTTCTTCAATTGTTTTTTTTAGAAATATCAATAATTCTCTACAAATAAAATGATCATTATTTATTTGTTTATCTGTTTCAGTTGATCAATAAATCTCAGGTCTCAAGATAATTTATCTTATCCCTTTTTAGTAATAATAAATAACTTAAATCTAACATAATTATTTTCATGAACCAATTTGAAGATTTTATTTTCTTTTTTATATCAATTATTGAATATATATTTCTGATATTTATTTGCAGATCCACTCAAATTTAATTCTTTTGCTCATCACCACAGGACCAATTTTAGAATCTCTTCAATTTTAAAATAAATGAATACCTACAAAGTGAACATAAAATTATATATATAAGGGTAGGTGTATATGAAAAGTAATAATAAATACAATGGTTCTAATGAATATCAAAATGCCATTGATTTTTTAGAAAAAGGTTGTGATTGTGGTTGTTCTTCAAGAATTCCCAAAGAACAATTTGCAGAATTAAGAGAATCCTTTCAAGCTCTTTCCAAGTCTGAACAGGACATATTTTTAATGGCCCAGTTAAAAGCAATGGATGGTGGGTCAATAAGCAGCAGTAGACGCCTTAAGAAGAAAACTAGATCTAATAAAAGAACTTTCTATCATTGAGATCACAATACACTCCTTTGTCAAGAGACTTATCTCAATATGTTGGGAATTGGTAGGACTTATTTTGAAAATATTAGAAATCATCTGATAAACAATGGTCTCCTGCCAAGAATTCATGGTAATATTAAAAGGATGCCTCAATGGAAAACTAAGATGATGATTGATAAAAATGTTGCTGAAGTAGTAAAAAATTTTCTGGGAAATTATGCTGAAGTCCATGGATTACCAAGTCCAGGAAGAAGTATCAATAGAATAACTCAATCAGTTACATTCTTACCAGCTGAAATGAGTTATAAATCAGTGCACAGGGATTTTCTAGCTGGCCTGGAAAAAGTTAGTAATTTGAAATCCTTAAAATATGATGCCTTCAGAAAGTTATGACATCAATTGACACCAGAGATTCAAATTATGGGTCCAAGGACTGACTTGTGTGATACTTGTCAGCATTTCAGAGATGGTTTACATTATAATGCTTGTCAGGAGGAAGAAGCCAAAGAATTACTCAAAAGATTTAAAGAACATCTGTCCAAGGCCAAATTAGAGAGAAATTATTATAATAAAAATACCAATTTAGCAGAAGAACAAAGAAAACTAGTTGATCAACATTATTCCAAGGGTAAAACACAGTATTGCAGCATTGATGCTACTGCTCATTACAGTTATGATTGAGCCCAAATTGTTCATGTGCCACATTTAGATCAACAAGTAGGTAAAATTTATTATCTTAGCCCATGTAAAGTTCATTTATTTGGTATTCAAGATGAAGCAATAAGGGAACAAATTAATTATGTTCTTAATGAAAATGAAATTATAGGAAAAGGTCCTAATGGAACTCTTAGTTTGATCTTTGATGGAATTAAGAAATTGAACAAAGGTGAAAAACATTTAAAGATTACTTGTGATAATGCTGGGGGACAAAATAAAAATAATGTAACAATCTGGTTCTATTTATATTTAGTAATTTGTGGTTATTATGAAAGTATTGAATTGAATTTCATGATTCCTGGACATACCAAATTCAAATGTGATGGTAGTTTTGGCCTGATTAAAAAA